GAGCAGAGTCGCTGGAAGCGTCTCCCCCCAAAACCCAGAGGCCGTGGATAAACCCGCTCTGCAAAAAATTTTTTTTAAATTTTTTTATTTAAAAAATTAAACCAAATTATAATACTATATATGGGAAAAATTTTTTAAATAACTAAAATTACATGGAAAATTTTTTTAACTTTTATTCCGGGCCTTTTTCGTGAAAATTTAAAAAAAAATTTTTTGTTTTTGTTTTGTTTTAAAAATCGGGAGCAAGGGGCCCAGTGGAAGCTTTGGGGGCCATCCCCCAGAGGTCCGGGGACGAAACACGCTCTGCTATAATTATTTTAAAATTTTTTTTAAAAAAAATTAAACCAAATTATAAGAAAATTATATCCCCCTTGAAATTTTTTAAATAACCCCCAATTACATCGAGAAAATTTTTTAAATTTTTTATTCCACCATTTTCTGAAAATTTTCTAAATGATGCTTTTTAAATTTTTGAATTGCTTTATGAGCAAGGGGCCAGGGAAGCGTGCTGGGCCATAACCCCAGAGGCCTGGATCGAAACCAGCTCGTAAAATTTTTTTTGAATTTTTTTTTTTAAAAAATTAAACCAAATTATAATTACTATAAAACCCGTTGAAAATTTTAAAATAACTTATTACATGAAAAATTTTTTAACTTTTATTCCGGGCCATTTTCGTGCAAATGTCAAAGTGAGGGTTTTTAAAGTTTTTAAAATTGCTTTAAATCGGAGAGAGGGGAGGAGCTGGGGGCCCATAACCCAAAGGGGTCCGGGGATCGAAAAAACCCTGCTAAATTATTTTAAAATTTTTTTATTTAAGAAAAAAAAAACCAAAATAATATATATATCCTTGAAAATTTTTTAAAAATCATTACATGAGAATATTTTAACTTTTTTCCCCAGCCTTTTTCTGAAAATATTTTAAAATGAGGTTTTTTAAAGTTTTTATTTTTTTTTTTAAAATAGAGCAGAGGGCGCAGGGAAAATTTGGGGGCATAACCCAGAGGTCCGGGGATCGAAACCACGCTCTGTTAAAATTTATTTTAGAATTTTATTTAAAAAAAATTTAACCAAATTATAATACTATATATCCTTGAAATTTTTTTAAATAACTAAAATTAATTAGAAATTTTTAATTTTTTATTCCAGGCCACGCAAAGTAAAAAAGGGAAATGTTTTAAAATTTTTAGATTTGTTTAAAAATGGAGCAAGGGGGAAGGGAAGCTTGGGCCAAACCCAGAGGTCCTGGATAAACCACGCTCGCTATAATTTTTTGTTTTTTTTTTAAAAAAAAATTTAAAAAAATTATAATACTTATATCCCCTTTAAATTTTTTTAAATAACTCAATTACATCGGAGATTTTTAAAACCCTTTTTTTGCCATTTTCGTGCAAATGTCTAAAAAAATTTTTTAAAGTTTTAAAATTGTTTCAATTGGGGAGCAAGTGGCGATGGAAGGTGTGGGCCCAAACCCGAGGTCCGGGGATCAAACCCACGCCTGTATAATTTTTTAAATTTTTTATTTAAAAAAAATTTAAACCAAAAAATTTGGGTACTTATATCCGGTTAAATTTTTTAAATAACCCAAAACACGAGAGATTTTTTTAACCCTTTTTTTTTCAGCCATTTTCGTGAAATTCAAAATGATTTTTTAAAGTTTTAGAATTCTTAAATTCGAGAGCAGAGTGGCAGGGGGAAGCGGGGGCCCATAACCCAGGGGTCCGTGGATCGAACCAGCCTCTAAATTATTTTAAAATTTTTATTTAAGAAAATTAAACCAAATTTGACAATTACCCCGTTGAAATTTTTTTAAAAAAACCCTTACCAGAGATTTTTTTAACCTTTATTTCAGCTCATTTTCGGCAAATAGATGATGCTTTTTTTAAAGATTTAGAATTGCTTCGAATTGGAGCAGAGGGGCGCAGTGGAAGCGTCTGGCCCATAACCCAGAGGCCGGGGGATAAAAAACCACGCTTTTGCTAAATTTTTTTAGAATTTTATTTAAAAAATTCACCAAATTATAATTACTATATATCCTTAATTTTAAGTAACCCCTTTAAATTTGAGAAATATTTAATTTTATTCCAGGCCTTTTTCCCAAATCGTCTAAAGGAGGGTTTTTAAAATTTTTAGATTTGTTTAAAAAAAATGAGAGCAGAGTGGGGAAGTTGGGGGCCCCATAACCCAGAGGTCCGGGATAAAACACGCCCTGCTATAATTTTTTAGAATTTTATTTAAGAAAAATTAAACCAAATTATAATTATATTTTCGTTGCAAATTTTAAATAACTCAATTACATCGAGAGATATTTTAACCTTTTTCAACTCATTTTCGTGCAAATAATCTAAAATGATGCGTTTCTAAAGTATTTAGAATTGCTGAATTCGATAGCAGAGTGGCGAAGCGCAAGCTGGGCCCATAACCCAGAGGTCCGTGGATCGAAACCACACTCTGCTAAAATTATTTTAGAATTTTTATTTAAGAAAAATACTACCGAATTATAATTACTATATATCCATTGCAAATTTTTTAAATAACTCAATTATACACGAGAGATATTTTAACCTTTATTTCAGTCATTTTCGTGCAAATAAAGCTCCAAAAGTGATGCGTTTCAAAAGTTTTGTGATTTGCTTTGAAATCGAGAGCAGAGTGGCGCAGTGGTGGTGAATAGGAGAATCTAGATATAATCCAGATTTGAAACCACGCTCTGTTATAAATTATTTGAATTTATTTAAGTTAAAAATTAAACCAAATTATATAAGTAAATTACATAATTATTGTAATTTTAAATAACTTTACAATTACATCGAGAGATATTTTAACCTTTTTTCAACTCATTTTCGTGCAAAATAATCTAAATGATTTTAGATATGAATTTTGTTAAATTTGATAGTAGAGGGTGCAGGAATGCGCCAGCCCATAACCCAGAGGTCCGTAAAGTCACGAAACCACGCCTGCTAAAATTATTTTAGAATTTTATTTAAGAAAATTCTACCAAATCATAATTAGTAATAATATCCGTTACAAATTTTAAGTAATCGATATATTGAGAAATATTTTTAACTTTTTATTCCAGGCCATTTTCGTGCAAATCGTCTAAAGTGATGCGTTTTAAAAGTTTTAGATTTGCTTTGAATTAGAGAGCAGTGTAAGGCAGTGTGGAAGCGTGTTGGCCCATAACCCAGAGTGTCCGTGTGATCGAAAACCACGTTTGTTATAATTATTTTAGAATCTTCTTTATGTAAGAAAAAATTTTCAAACTAAATTATATAATTACTATATCCGTTGCAAATTTTTAAATAACCTAAATACACGAGAGATATTTAACCTTTTCAACTCATTTTCGTGCAAATAATCTAAATGATGCGTTTCTAAAGTATTTAGAATTAAGCCTACCCGATATACAGCAGAGTGGCGAGGAAGCAGTGTTGGCCCATACAACCCAGAGTGTCCGTAGACGAAACCACACCTGCCAAAATTATTTGAATTTCATTTCAAGAAAAATTCTACCAAATTATAATTATTATATATCCATTGTACTTTAATAACTCACCATACACGAGAGACATTTTAACCTTTATTTCAGCCGCCAGCAACAGTCTAAAATGATCTGCCTTCTCAAAGTTTTAGATCTGCTTCTGAAATCGAGAGCAGAGTGGCGTAGGAAGCGTGCTGGGCCCATAACTCCAGAGTGTCCGTAGGATCGAAACCACGCCTGCCATAATTATTTTAGAATTTTTATTTACAGTAAATTCAAAACCAAATTATAAGTACTATATATCCGTTGCAAATTTTTAAATAACTCACTACATCGAGGAATTTTATTTCAGCTCATTTTTCTGCAAGATTCAAAGTGATGTAGTTTCAAAGTTTTGTGATTTACATAGAAATCGAGAGCAGAGTGGGCGACGTGATGTGCTGGGCCTATAACCCAGAGGTCCGTGGATCGAAACCACGCTCTGCTAAAATTATTTTAGAATTTTGGCAAGAAAAATTAAACCAAATTATAATTACTATATATCCGTTGCAAATTTTTAAATAACTCAATTACACGAGAGATATTTTAACCTTACTAACTCATTTTCAGCAAATAATCTAAAATGATGCGTTTCTTAAAGTATTTAGAATTGCCAGCAAATTCGATACAGCAGAGTGGCGCAGTGAAGCGCAAGGCCCATAACCCAGAGCAGTCCGGTGTATCGAAACCACGTTCTGCCAAAAATTACTCAGAATTTTATTTAAGAAAATTCTACCAAATTATAATTACTATATATCCGTTGCCAAATTTTAAGTAACTCGATTATACATTGAGAAATATTTGAATGAGTTCCAGCTGAGTAAATTTAAAGTGATGGGGTTTCTAAAAGTGATTTGTTGGTAATCGAGAGCAGAGGGTGGTGTAGCGTGTTGGGCCTGAACAGGTCCGTGGATCGAAACCACGCCTGCTATAATTATTTTAGAATTTCATTTAAGAAAATTAAATCCAAAATTATATATACTATATATCCGTTGCAAATTTTAAATAACTCAACACATCGAGATTATTTTAAACTTTAATTCCGTGGCAAATAGCCCAAAGTGATGCGTTTCTAAAGCAGATGAATTATTTACAAATTGATAGCAGAGTGGCGCAGTGGAAGCGTGCTGGGCCCATAACCCAGAGGCAGTCCGTAAGTCACGAAACCACGCCTCCGTTAAAAATTATTTTAGAATTTTTATTTAAGAAAAATTTTACCAAATTATAATTAGTACATATCCGTTGTTAAATCTCCTTAAATAACTCAATTATACATCGAGAGATATTTAACCTTTTATTTCAGCTCATTTTCGTGCAAATAGTCTAAAGTGATGCGTTTCTTAAAGTTTTTAGATTGCTGAAATCGAGAGAGCAGAGTGGCGCAGTGAAGCGCGTCAGCCCATAACCCAGAGTACGTCCGATGAACAGTGTTTGTTATAATTATTTTAGAATTTTTATTTAAGAAAAATTAAAACCAAAATTACAAGTACTCATATATCCATTGCGTAAATTTTTAAATAACTCACCACATCGAGAGATATTTTAACTCAACTACCAGCAACAATCTATAAAATGATGCGTTTCTAGTAAAGGAGGAATGGTTTAAATTGATAGTAGAGGGTGCAGTGGAAGTGCCAGCCCAACCTATAGAGGTCCGCAGCCATGAAAACTACGTTTGCTAAAATTACGCAGAATTTCTATTTGCCAGTAAATTCTACCAAATTATAATTAGCACATATCCGCGGCGGTTTTAAGTAACCTGATAGAGTATTGAGAAATATTTAACTTTATTCCAGTATTACTGTGCAAATCGTCTAAAGTGATGTGTTTTAAAGTTTTATTATGAATGAGCAAAGTGGCGCAGTGGGAAGGTGTTGACCATAACCCAGAGAGGTCCGTGGATCGAAACCACGCTCTGCTATAATTATTGTTCTATGTGGGAGAAAAATTAAACCAAATTATAATTACTATATAATTCATAGTAAAATTTTAAATAACTCAAATACATCGAGAGACATATTAACCTTTTCAACTCATTTTCGTGCAAAGATCTAAATGAGTGTTTAAAGTATTTGTGAATTACTGAATTCGATAGTAGAGGGAAAGGCAGGAAGCGTGTTGGGCCCATAACCCAGAGGTTCAGGATCGTGAAACCACACTCGCTAGCAAATTATTTTAGAATTTTTATAGAAGATTTAAATTATAATTACTATATATCCATGGAATTTTTAAATAACTCACCATACATCGAGATATTTAACCTTATTTCAGCTCATTTCAGTAAATAAAGTCTAAAGTGATGGTTTCTTAAAGTTTTTAGATTTGCTTTGAAATCGAGAGTTAAGAGCAGCAGTGGAAGCGTGCTGGGCCCATAACCTAGAGGTCCGTGGATCGAAACCACGCTCTGCTATAATTATTTTAGAATTTATTTAAGAAAATTGTTCAAATTATATACCATATATCCGCTGCAAATTTTTAAACAACTCAACACATCGAGAGATATTTTTAACCTTTTTCAACTCATTTTGTGCAATAATCTATGTTTCTAAAGTATTTAGAATTGAAAGCCGAATTCGATAAAGGTGAGTGGCGCAGTGAAGCATGTTGGGCCCATAACCCAGAGACCTGGATTGAAACTATTAATTTCTATAAAATTATTTTAGAATTTTTATTTAAGAAAAATACTAATGAATTAGTATGATTACATGTACTGCAAATTTCAAACAACCCTAATTATATATCGAGATATTTAATCCTTTTATTTCAGCCTCATTTTCAAAAGCAACAGTCTGTAAAGTATAAGCTTTAAAGCTCTTTAGATTTGCTTTACAGAGAGTAGGCAGTGGAAGCGTGCTGGGCCCATAACTCCAGAGGTCCGTGGACGAACCACGCTCTGTTATAATTATTTTAGAATTTTTATTTAAGAAAATTAAACCAATATAGCAATACTATATATCCATTGCAAATTTTTAAATAACTCACTACATCGAGATATTTTAACCTTTTTTCTCAACTCATTTCGTGCAAATAATCTAAAATGATGCGTTTCTAAAGTATTTAGAATTGCTTCCAAATCGATAGAAAGATAAGGTAGTGGAAGTATGTTGGGCCTATAACCTAGAGGGTCCGTAGTTCGAAACCAATGTTCTGCTAAAATTATTTTAGAATTTTTATTTAAGAAAGTACCCTACCAAATTATAATTACTATATATCCAAGTGAAAAATTTTTAAATAACTCAATTACATCGAGAGATATTTTAACTTTTATTCCAGGCCATTTTCGTGCAAATCGTCTGAAAGTGATGCGTTTTTAAAAGTTTTTAGAATTGCTCTTTAGTCGAGAGCAGAGTGGCGCAGTGGACGCATGCTGGACCCATAACCCAGAGGTCCGTGGATCGAAACCACGCTCTGCTATAATTATTTTAGAATTTTTATTTAAGAAAAATTAAACCAAATTATAAATAATATATATACACATTGAAAATTTTTAAAATAACTCATTACATCGAGAGATTTTTTAACTTTTATTCCAGGCCATTTTCGTGCAAATTGTCTGAAAGTGATGCTTTTTAAAAAGTTTTAGAATTGCTCTTAGGTCGGGAGCAAAGTGGCCCAGTGGCAGCGTGCTGGGACCATAACCCAGAGGTCCGTGGATCGAAGCTATGCTCTGCTATAATTTTATTTAAATTTTTACTTAAAAACAATAAACCAAATTATAAGTATTATATATCCTATGCAAAATTGTTAAATAACTAAATTACATCGAGAGATTTTTAACTTTTATTCCAGACAATTTTCGTGCAAATCGTCTGAAAGTGATGCGTTTTTAAAAGTTTTTAGAATTGCTTTGAATTCGAGAGCAGAGTGACGCAGTGGAAGCGTGCTGGGCCCATAACCCAGAGGTCCATGGATAGCAATCACGCTCTGCTAAAATTATTTTAGAATTTTTATTTAAGAAAAATTAAACCAAATTATAAGTACTATATATCCGTTGCAAATTTTTTAAATAACTCAATTACATCGAGAGATATTTTAACCTTTTATTTCAGCTCATTTTCGTGCAAATAGTCTAAAGTGATGCGTTTCTTAAAGTATTTAGAATTGCTTCGAATTCGAGAGCAGAGTGGCGCAGTGGAAGCGTGCTGGGCCCATAACCCAGAGGTCCGTGGATCGAAACCACGCTCTGCTAAAATTATTTTAGAATTTTTATTTAAGAAAAATTCAACCAAATTATCAGTACTATATATCCGTTGCCAAATTTTTATGTAACTCAATTACATTGAGAAATATTTTAACTTTTATTCCAGGCCATTTTCGTGCAAATCGTCTAAAGTGATGCGTTTCTTAAAGTTTTTAGATTTGCTTTGAAATCGAGAGCAGAGTGGCGCAGGGGAAACGTGTTTGGGGAAAAAACCCCGAGGTCCGTGGATCAAAAACCCCGCTCTGCTATAATTATTTTAGAATTTTTTTTTTAAGAAAAAAAATTAAACCAAATTATAAGTACAAAATACATTGAAAATTTTTAAATAACCTCACAAATAAAGAGATTTTTTTAACTTTTATTCCAGGGCCCTTTTCGAGCAAATTGTCTGAAAGTTTGCTTTTGTTTTAGACTTGCTCTTGGTCGAGAGCAGAGTGGCGCAGTGGAAGCGTGCTGGGCCCATAACAGAGGTCCGTGGATTGAGAAACCACGCTCTGCTATAATTATTTTTAGAATTTTTATGTAAGAAAAATTAAACCAAATTATAATTACTATATATCCGTTGCAAATTTTTTAAATAACTCAATTACATCGAGAGATATTTTAACCTTTTTTTTCAACTCATTTTCGTGCAAATAATCTAAAATGATGCGTTTCTTAAAGTATTTAGAATTGCTTCAAATTCGATAGCAGAGTGGCGCAGTGGAAGCGTGCTGGGCCCATAACCCAGAGGTCCGTGGATCGAAACCACGCTCTGCTAAAATTATTTTAGAATTTTTATTTAAGAAAAATTCTACCAAATTATAATTACTATATATCCGTTGCCAAATTTTTAAGTAACTCGATTATACATTGAGAAATATTTTAACTTTTATTCAGGCCATTTTTCGTTACCGTCGTCTAAAGTGATGGGTTTCTTAAAGTTTTAGATTTGCTTTGCAATCGAGAGCAGAGTGGCGCAGTTGAAGCGTGCTGGGCCCATAACCCAGAGGTCCGTGGATCGAAACCACGCTCTGCTATAATTATTTTAAATTTTTATGTAAAGAAAGGTAAAACCAAATTATAAGTACTATATATCCGTTGCAAATTTTTAAATAACTCAATTACATCGAGAGATATTTTAAACTTTTATTTCAGCTCCTTTTTTTGCAAATAGTCTAAGTGATGCGTTTCTTAAAGTTTTTAGATTTGCTTTGAAATCGAGCAGAGTGGCGCAGTGGAAGCGTGCTGGGCCCGCAGCAGAGGTCCGTGGATCGAAACCACGCTCTGCTATAATTATTTTAGAATTTTTATTTAAGAAAAATTAAACCAAATTATAAGTACTATATATCCGTTTGCAAATTTTTTAAATAACTCAATTACATCGAGAGATATTTTAACCTTTTTTCAACTCATTTTCGTGCAAATAATCTAAAATGATGCGTTTCTTAAAGTATTTAGAATTGCTTCGAATTCGATAGCAGAGTGGCGCAGTGGAAGCGTGCTGGGCCCATAACCCAGAGGTCCGTGGATCGAAACCACACTCTGCTAAAATTATTTTAGAATTTTTATTTAAGAAAAATACTTCCAAATTATAATTACTATATATCCGTTGCCAAATTTTTAAGTAACTCGATTATACATTGAGAAATATTTTAACATTTATTCCAGGCCATTTTTGTGCAAATCGTCTAAAGTGATGGGTTTCTTAAAGTTTTTAGATTTGCTTTGAAATCGAGAGCAGAGTGGCGCAGTGGAAGCGTGCTGGGCCCATAATCCAGAGGTCCGTGGATCGAAACCACGCTCTGCTATGGTATTTTAGAATTTTTATGTAGAAAATTAAACCAAACTATAAGTACTATATATCCGTTGCAAATTTTTTAAATAACTCAATTACATCGAGAGATACTTTTAACCTTTTTTTTTCAACTCATTTTTATTTTAATGTCCTAAAATGATGCGTTTCTTAAAGTATTTAAATTGCTTCGAATTCAAGAGCAGAGTGGCGCAGTGGAGCGTGTTGGGCCCATAACCCAGAGGTCCGTGTCTCGAAACCACGCTCTGCTACAAATTATTTTAAATTTTTATTTAAGAAAAATTCTACCAAATTCTCAATTACTACATATCCGTTTGCCAAATTTTTAAGTAACTCGATTATACATTGAAATATTTTTAACTTTTATTCCAGGTACATTTTTTCGTGCAAATCGTCTAAAGTGATGCATTTCTTAAAGTTTTAGATTTGCTTTGAAATCGAGAGCAGAGTGGCGCAGTGGAAGCGTGCTGGGCCCATAACCAGAGGTCCGTGGATCGAAACCACGCTCTGCTATAATTATTTTAGAATTTTTATTTAAGAAAAATTAAACCAAATTATAAGTACTATATATCCGTTGCAAATTTTTTAAATAACTCAATTACATCGAGAGATATTTTAACCTTTTTTTTTTTTCTTTCATTTTCGTGCAAATAATCTAAAATGATGCGTTTCTTAAAGTATTTAGAATTGCTTCGAATTCGATAGCAGAGTGGCGCAGTGGAAGCGTGCTGGGCCCATAACCCAGAGGTCCGTGGATCGAAACCACACTTTGCAAAAAATAATTTTAGAATTTTTATTTAAGAAAAATACTTCCAAATTATAATTACTATATATCCATTGCAAATTTTTTAAATAACTCAATTATACATCGAGAGATATTTTAACCTTTTATTTCAGCTCATTTTCGTGCAAATAGTCTAAAGTGATGCGTTTCTTAAAGTTTTTAGATTTGCTTTGAAATCGAGAGCAGAGTGGCGCAGTGGAAGCGTGCTGGGCCCATAACCCAGAGGTCCGTGGATCGAAACCACGCTCTGCTATAATTATTTTAGAATTTTTATTTAAGAAAAATTAAACCAAATTATAAGTACTATATATCATTTGAAATTTTTAAATAACTCAATTACATCGAGAGATATTTTAACCTTTTTTTTTCGGCTTTCATTTTTCGTGCAAATATTCTAAAATGATGCGTTTCTTAAAGTATTTAGAATTGCTTCGAATTCGATAGCAGAGTGGCGCAGTGGAAGCATGCTGGGCCCATAACCCAGAGGTCCGTGGATCGAAACCACACTTTGCAAAAAATTATTTTAGAATTTTTATTTAAGAAAAATACTTCCAAATTATAATTACTATATATCCGTTGCCAAATTTTTAAGTAACTCGATTATACATTGAGAAATATTTTAACATTTTATTCCAGGCCATTTTTGTGCAAATCGTCTAAAGTGATGGGTTTCTTAAAGTTTTAGATTTGCTGAAATCGAGCAGAGTGGCGCAATTGGAAGCGCGCTGGGCCCATAATCCAGAGGTCCGTGGATCCGAAACCACGCTCTGCTATAATTATTTAGGGTACATGTAAGAAAGAATTAAGCCAAACTATAAGTACTATATATCCGTTGCAAATTTTTTAAATAACTCAATTACATCGAGATACTTTAACCTTTTTTTTTTCAACTCATTTTTCGTGCAAATAATCTAAAATGATGCGTTTCTTTAAAGTATTTAGAATTGGTTCAATTCAAACGAAGTGGCGCAGTGGAAAGCGTGTTTGGCCCATAACAGGGTCCGTGTCTCAAACCACGCTCTGCTAAAATTATTTTAGAATTTTTATTTAGAAAAATTCTACCAAATTATAATTACTATATATCCGTTGCCAAATTTTTAAGTAACTCGATTATACATTGAGAAATATTTTAACTTTTATTCCAGGCCATTTTCGTGCAAATCGTCTAAAGTGATGCGTTTCTTAAAGTTTTTAGATTTGCTTTGAAATCGAGAGCAGAGTGGCGCAGTGGAAGCGTGCTGGGCCCATAACCCAGAGGTCCGTGGATCGAAACCACGCTCTGCTATAATTATTTTAGAATTTTTATGTAAGAAAAATTAAACCAAATTATAAGTACTATATATCCGTTTGCAAATTTTTTAAATAACTCAATTACATCGAGAGATATTTTTAACCTTTTCAACTCATTTTCGTTACCCAATAATCTAAAATTGTATGCGTTTCTTAAAGTATTTAGAATTGCTTCAAATTCGATAGCAGAGTGGCGCAGTGGAAGCGTGCTGGGCCCATAACCCAGAGGTCAGGATCGAAACCACACTCTGCTAAAATTATTTTAAATTTTATTTAAGAAAAATTCTGCAAGGTATAATTACTACATATCCAGATTTGCCAAATTTTTAAGTAACTCGATTATACATTGAGAAATATTTTAACTTTTATTCAAGGCCGTGCAATTTTAAATCGTCTAAGTGATGCGTTTCTTAAAAGTTTTTTAGATTATGCTTTGAAATCGAGAGCAGAGTGGCGCAGTGGAGGCGTGCTGTTTATAACCCAGAGGTCAAATGGATCGAAACCACGCTCTACTATAATTATTTTAAATTTTTTATGTAGAAAAATTAAACCAAATTATAATTACTATATATCCGTTGCAAATTTTTTTAAATAACTCAAATACATCGAGATATTTTTAACCTTTTTTTCAACACATTTTCGTTGCAAATAATCTAAAATGATGCGTTTCTGGTATTTAGGGTACTTCAAATTCGATAGCGAAATTGGCGCAGTGGAAGCGTGCTGGGCCCATAGCAGAGGTCCGTGTATCGAAACCACGTTCTGCTAAAATTATTTTTAAATTTTTATTTAGAAAAATTCTACCAAATTATAATTACTATATATCCGTTGCCAAATTTTTAAGTAACTCGATTATACATTGAGAAATATTTTAACTTTTATTCCAGGCCATTTTCGTGCAAATCGTCTAAAGTGATGGGTTTCTTAAAGTTTTTAGATTTGCTTTGCAATCGAGAGCAGAGTGGCGCAGTGGAAGCGTGCTGGGCCCATAACCCAGGTCAAGTGGATCGAAACCACGCTCTGCTATAATTATTTTAGAATTTTTATTTGTAGAAAAATTAAACCAAATTATAAGTACTATATATCCGTTGCAAATTTTTTAAATAACTCAATTACATCGAGAGATATTTTAAACTTTTATTTCAGCTCCTTTTTTTGCAAATAGTCTAAAGTGATGCGTTTCTTAAAGTTTTTAGATTTGCTTTGAAATCGAGAGCAGAGTGGCGCAGTGGAAGCGTGCTGGGCCCATAACCCAGAGGTCCGTGGATCGAAACCACGCTCTGCTAAAATTATTTTAGAATTTTTATTTAGAAAAATTAAACCAAATTATAAGTACTATATCCGTTGCAAATTTTTAAATAACTCAATTACATCGAGAGAGATATTTTAACCTTTTTTCAACTCATTTTCGTGCAAATAATCTAAAATGATGCGTTTCTTAAAGTATTTAGAATTGCTTCGAATTCGATAGCAGAGTGGCGCAGTGGAAGCGTGCTGCGCCCATAACAGAAGGTCCGTGGATCGAGAAACCACACTCTGCTAAAATTATTTTTAGAATTTTTATTTGAAAATACTACCGAATTATAATTACTATATATCCATTGCAAATTTTTAAAACACTCAGTATACATCGAGGAGATATTTTAACCTTTTATTCAGCTCATTTTCGTGCGAAATAGTCTAAAAGTGATGCGTTTCTTAAGTTTTTAGATTTGCTTTGAAATCGAGGCAGAGTGGCGCAGTGGAAGCGTGCTGGGCCCATAACCCAGAGATGAAGTGGATCGAAACCACTCTGCTATAATTATTTTAAATTTTTTATTTATGAAAAAATTAAACCAAATTATAAGTACACTATATATCCGTTGCAAAATTTTTTAAATAACTCAAATACATCGAGATATTTTTAACCTTTTTTTTTTTTTCAACTCATTTTCGTGCAAATAATCAAAATGATGCGTTTCGCCTTTAAAGTATTTGAGGTATTGCTTCAAATTCGATAGCAAAATTGGCGCAATTAGGCGTGCTGGGCCCATAACTTGAGGTCCGTGGTCGAAACCACACTCTGCTAAAATTATTTTTTAGAATTTTTATTTAAGAAAAATTCTGCAAATTATAATTACTATATATCCATTTACAAATTTTTAAATAACTCAATTATACATCGAGAGATATTTTAACCTTTTTATTTCAGCTGGGGATTTTTCGTGCAAATAGTCTAAAGTGATGCGTTTCTTAAAGTTTTTAGATTTGCTTTGAAATCGAAGCAGAGTGGCGCAGTGGAAGCGTGCTGGGCCCATAACCCAGAGGTCCGTGGATCGAAACCACGCTCTGCTATAATTATTTTAAATTTTTATTTAAGAAAAATTAAACCAAATTATAAGTACTATATATCCGTTGCAAATTTTTAAATAACTCAATTACATCGAGAGATATTTTAACCTTTTTTTCAACTCATTTTCGTGCAAATAATCTAAAATGATGCGTTTCTTAAAGTATTTAGAATTGCTTCAAATTTCGATAACAGAGTGTAGCGCAGTGGAAGCGTGCTGGGCCCATAACCCAAGAGGTCCGTGTCTCAACCACACTCTGCTAAAATTAATTAGAGGTACATTTAAGAAAAATACTTCCAAATTATAATTACTATATATCCGTTGCCAAATTTTTAAGTAACTCGATTATACATTGAGAAATATTTTAACATTTATTCCAGAAAGCCATTTTTGTGCAAATCGTCTAAAAGTGATGATGGGTTTCTTAAAAAGTTTTTTAGGAATTTGCTTTGAAATCGAGAGCAGAATTGTGGCGCAGTGGAAGAGGTGCTGGGCCCATAACTCAGAGGTCCGTGGATTCAAACCCACGCTCTGCTATAATTATTTTAGGGTACATGTAAGAAAGATTAAACCAAATTATAAGTACTATATATCCGTTTGCAAATTTTTAAATCGTCAATTACATCGAGAGATATTATAACCTTTTTTCAAGCTCATTTTTCGTGCAAATAATCTAAAATGATGCGTTTCTTAAAGTATTTAAATTGCTTCAAATTCGATAGCAGAGTGGCGCAAATTGGGCATTAAGGCCACCAACCCAGAGGGTCCGTCTCGAAACCACACTCTGCTAAAATTGTTTAAAATTTTTATTTAGAAAAATTCTGCCAAATTACTCATTACTATATATCAAATTTGCGGGAATTTTTAAGTAACTCGATTATACATTGAGAAATATTTTAACTTTTATTTGACCATTTTTCGTGCAAATCGTCTAAAGTGATGGGTTTCTTAAAAGTTTTAGATTTGCTTTGAAAGCGAAGAACTTGAAATTGTACGGTGGAAGCTGATGCTGGGCCCATAACCAAAGTCCGTGGATTCAAAGCCGCGCTCTCTTTATAATTATTTTAAAATTTTATGTGAAAGAAAAATTAAGCCAAATTATAATTACTATATATCCGTTTGCAAATTTTTTAAATAACTCAATTATATCGAGAGATATTTTAACTTTTCAACTCATTTTCATTATTGCAAATAATCAAATGATGCGTTTCTTAAAGTATTTAGGGTAGCTAGAATTCGATAGAGAAGAGTGGCGCAGTGGAGTGATGCTGGGCCCATAACCCAGAGATAGGATAAAGACACACTCTGCTAAAATTATTTTAGAATTGCATTTAAGAAAAATACTTCCAAATTATAATTACTATATATCATTGCAATTTTTTGAAATAACTCAATTCACCATGTGAGAGATATTTTAACCTTTTATTTCAATGTTTTCCTGCAATGAGTCTAAAGTGATGGGGTTTCTTGGGGTTTTGATTTGCTTTGAAATCAGGCAGAGTGGCGCAGTGGAAGCGTGCTTGGCCCATAACCAGAGGTCCGTGGATCAAACCACGCTCTGCTATAATTATTTTAAAATTTTTTATGTAAGAAAAATTAAGCCAAATTATAAGTACTATATATCCGCGTTGCGAAATTTTTTAAAATAAATCAATTACATGAAGTCTTATAACCTTTTTTTCAACTGTTTCGTGCAAATAATCTAAAATGATGCGTTTCTTAAAAATGTTTGGTGGCTTCAAATTCGATAGCAGAGTCTTGTACCGAGTGGAAGCGTGCTGGGCCCATAACCCAGAGGTCCTGTCTCGAAACCACACTCTGCCGTGTTTAGAATTTTTATTTAGAAAAAATTCTACCAAATTACTCAATTACTATATATCCGTTGCCAAATTTTTAAGTAACTCGATTATACATTGAAATATTTTAACTTTATTCAGGCCATTTTTCGCGCAAATCGTCTAAAGTGATGGGTTTCTTAAGTTTTAGATTTTGGCGTCCGAGCAGAGTGGCACCCAGTGGAAGCGTGCTGGGCCCATAACTTGGGGTCCGTGGATCGAAACCACGCTCTGCTATAGTATTTTAGAATTTTTATGTAGAAAAATTAAACCAAATTATAAGTACTATATATCAAGACTTTTTAAATTTTTTAAATAACTCAATTACATAGAGAATGTTTTAAACTTTTTATTTCAGCTCCTTTTTTTTTTGCAAAATAGTCTAAAAGTGATGCGTTTCTTAAAGTTTTAGATTTGCTTTGAAATCGAGAGCAGAGTGGCGCAGTGGAAGCGTGCTGGGCCCATAACCAGAAGGTCCGTGGATCAGAAACCACGCTCTGCTACAATTATTTTAGAATTTTATTTAAGAAAATTAAACCAGATATAAAATTACTATATATCGTTGCAAATTTTTAAATAACTCCAATTACATCGAGATATTTTAGCTTAACGCTCATTTTCGTGCAAATAATCTAAAATGATGCGTTTCTTAAAAAGTATTTAGAATTGCTTCGAATTCGATAGCAAATTGGCGCAGTGGAAGCGTGCTGCGCCCATAACTAAGGTCCGTGGATCGAAACCACACTCTGCTAAAATTATTTTAGAATTTTTATTTAAGAAAAATACTACCGAATTATAATTACTATATATCCATTACCCAAATTTTTTAAAATAAACTCAATTATACATCGAGAGATATTTTAACCTTTTATTTCCAGCTCATTTTCGTGCAAATAGTCAAAGTGATGCGTTTCTTAAAGGATTTTTAGATTTGCTTTGAAATCGAGAGCAGAGTGTGGCGCAGTGGAAGCGTGCTGGGCCCATAACCCAGGGTCCGTGGATCGAAACCACGCTCTGCTATAATTATTTTAGGGTACATGTAAGAAAAATTCTACCAGAGTCTGATTACTATATATCCATTGCAAATTTTTTAAATAACTCAATTATACATCGAGAGATATTTTAACCTTTTATTTCAGCTGATTTTCGTGCAAATAGTCTAAAGTGATGCGTTTCTTAAAGTTTTAGATTTGCTTTTGAAATCGAGCAGAGTGGCGCAGTAGGCGTGCTGGGCCCATAACAGAAGGTCGTGGATCGAAACCACGCTCTGCTATAATTATTTTAGAATTTTTATTTAGAAAAAATTAAACCAAATTATAAGTACTATATCCGTTGCAAATTTTTTAAATAACTCAATTACATCGAGAGATATTTTAACCTTTTTTTTCAACTCATTTTCGTGCAAATAATCTAAAATGATGCGTTTCTTAAAGTATTTAGAATTGCTTCGAATTCGATAGCAGAGTGGCACCAGTGGAAGCATGTTTGGGCTCACTAACCCAGAGGTCCGTGGATCGAAACACACTTTGCAAAAAATTATTTTTAGAATTTTTATTTAAGAAAAATACTTCCAAATTATAGTACTATATATCCGTTGCCAAATTTTTAAGTAACTCGATTATACATTGAGAAATATTTTAACATTTATTCCAGGCCATTTTTGTGCGAAATCAAACCTAAGTGATGGGTTTCTTAAAGTTTTAGATTTGCTTTGAAATCGAAACTTGGTGGCGCAGTGGAAGCGTGCTGGGCCCATAATCAGAGGTCCGTGGATCGAAACCGCTCTGCTATAATTATTTTAGAATTTTTATGTAGAAAAATTAAACAAACTATAGTACTATATATCCGTTTGCAATTTTTTAAATAACTCAATTACATCGAGATGCTTTAACCTTTTTTCAACTCATTTTCGTGCAAATAATCTAAAATGATGCGTTTCTTAAAGAGTATTTAGAATTGCTTCGAAGATTCCAAGGCAGAGTGGCGCAGTGGAAGCGTGTTTGGCCCACATAACAGAGGTCCGTGTCTCGAAACCACGCTCTGCTAAAATTATTTTGAGGTACATTTTAAGAAAAAAATTCTACCAAATTATAGTACTACATATCAGTGCCGGTACTGGTAACTCGATTGCGGCAGAAATATTTACTTTTTATTCAGGCGTTTCGTGCAAATCGTCTAAGTGATGCATTTTCGCTTGGTTTTCGTTTGGCTGAAATCGAGAGCAGAGTGGCACCCAGTAGGCGTGCTGGGCCCATAACCCAGAGGTCCGTGGATCGAAACCACGCTCTGCTATATTATTTTAGAATTTTTATTTAAGAAAAATTAAACAAATTATAAGTACTATATATCCGTTGCAAATTTTTTAAATAACTCAATTACATCGAGAGATATTTTAACCTTTTTTTTCAACTCATTTTCGTGCAAATAATCTAAAATGATGCGTTTCTTAAAGTATTTAGAATTGCTTCGAATTCGATAGCAGAGTGGCGCAGTGGAAGCGTGCTGGGCCCATAACCCAGAGGTCCGTGGATCGAAGCCACACTTTTGCAAAAATAATTTTAGGAGAATTTTTATTTAAGAAAAATACTTCCAAATTATAATTACTATATATATCCATTGCAAATTTTTTAAATAACTCAATTATACATCGAGAGATATTTTAACCTTTTATTTCAGCTCATTTTCGTGCAAATAGTCAGAGTGATGCGTTTTCTTAAGTTTTAGATTTGCTTTGAAAATCGAGAGCAGAGTGGCGCAGTGGAAGCGTGCTGGGCCCATAGCCCAGAGGTCCGTGGATGAAACAACGCTCTGCTATATTATTTTGAAATTTTTATTTAAGAAAAATTAAACCAAATTGCTCAGTACTATATATCCATTGCAAATTTTTAAATAACTCAATTACATCGAGATATTTTAACCTTTTTTCAACTCATTTTCGTGCAAATAATCTAAAATGATGCGTTTCTTCTTAAAGTATTTAGAATTGCTTCAGATTCGATAGCAAATTGGCGCAGTGGAAGTATGCTGGGCCCATAACCCAGAAGGTCGTGGATCGAAACCACACTTTACCAAAAAATTATTTTAAATTTTATTTGAAAAATACTTCAAATTATAATTACTATATATCCGTTTACTTAAGATTTTAAGTAACTCGATTGTATTTAAATGTTGGCATTTGTTGACATTTAAAATCGTCTAAGTGATGGGTTTTCTTAAAGTTTTTGGAATTTGCTTTGAAATCGGAAACAGAGTGGCGCAGTGGAAGCGTGCTGGGCCCACATCCAGAAGGTCCGTGGATCAAACCACGCTCTGCTATATTCTTTAAATTTTTATGTAAGAAAAATTAAACCAAACTATAAGTACTATATATCCGTTGCAAATTTTTTAAATAACTCAATTACATCGAGAGATACTTTAACCTTTTTTTTCAACTCATTTTCGTGCAAATAATCTAAAATGATGCGTTTCTTAAAGTATTTAGAATTGCTTCGAATTCAAGAGCAGAGTGGCGCAGTGGAAGCGTGTTTGGCCCATAACCCAGAGGTCCGTGTCTCGAAACCACGCTCTGCTAAAATTATTTTAGAATTTTTATTTAAGAAAAATTGCAAATTACTCAATTACTACATATCCGTTTGCCAAATTTTTAAGTAACTCGATTATACATTGAAATATTTTAACTTTATTCCAGGCCATTTCATTACCGTCGTCTAAAAGTGATGCGTTTTCTTAAAGTTTTAGATTTGCTTTGAAATCGAGCAGAGTGGCGCAGTGGAAGCGTGCTGGGCCCATAACAGGGTCCGTGGATCGAAACACACTCTGCTATAATTATTTTAGAATTTTTATGTAAGAAAAATTAAAGCCAAATTATAAGTACTATATAACCGTTGCAAATTTTTAAATAACTCAATTACATCGAGAGATATTTTAACTTTTCAACTCATTTTTCATTTCCAAATAAATCTAAAAGAGTATGCGTTTCTTAAGTATTTAGAATTGCTTCAAATTCGATAGCAGAGTGGCGCAGTGGAAGCGTGCTGGGCCCATAACCCAGAGGTCCGTGGATCGAAACCACACTCTGCTAAAATTATTTTAGAATTTTTATTTAAGAAAAATTCTACCAAATTATAATTACTATATATCCGTTGCCAAATTTTTTAAGTAACTCGATTATACATTGAGAAATATTTTAACTTTTATTCCAGGCCATTTTCGTGCAAATCGTCTAAAGTGATGCGTTTCTTAAAGTTTTAGATTTGCTTTGAAATCAGGCAAAATTGGCGCAGTGGAAGCGTGCTGGGCCCATAACCCAGAGGTCCGTGGATCGAAACCACGCTCTGCTATAATTATTTTAGAATTTTTATTTAAGAAAAATTAAACCAAATTATAAGTACTATATATCCGTTGCAAATTTTTTAAATAACTCAATTACATCGAGAGATATTTTAACCTTTTTTTTCAACTCATTTTCGTGCAAATAATCTAAAATGATGCGTTTCTTAAAGTATTTAGAATTGCTTCGAATTCGATAGCAGAGTGGCGCAGTGGAAGCGTGCTGGGCCCATAACCCAGGTCCGTGGATCGAAACCACACTTTGCAAAAATAATTTTTAGAATTTTATTTAGAAAAATACTTTAAATTATAATTACTATATATCCAT